ATTACCTCGTTCATGGTAATTTATGGGCCGTTGATTGAGGAAAGTGCTAACTTTGTAAAGTATCTGCCCATTATAATGTTTGTTTTGGTCCGGTTACTACATTTTCAAAGTGCTTTCAGGTATCAATTACATTTACTGATATATAGTGTAAAAAAACACACCAGACAATGCACATACTCAAGGAGACCTATGATGATAAGATATGATCTGGTTATTCATTTTCATTCGGTGTTACTGAGATATTAAATAGGTTTTTGCCACAAAAATTCCAGGTTTTTAGTAAAGGGTAATATGTGATATGCTTACATCCCATCATACAACTCACATCTGAAGCATCAGAAAATTTAAACTATTAAATATTTTTATTTTTATGTAATTTCATGGCAGCTAAAAGTCATTTTTCCATTAAATCATGCTTGCATCATTAATTGCTTGGTGCTAATGATATAGTATGTTACTTAAATACCAGCTAAGAAAAAAAAGCATTGTAAAACAAGGATATTTACGAGTGTTTGCGGATATCTACAAAAAGATGTGACACTCACGTCTTCCTTGAATGGGCTGTGGAGTTTAACGACGGCTGACGGTAGCATAGCTGGGACAAGTGTCCTAAAAAATAATAGGGCATTATATAGGAGCAGCCACACCAGCGATCATTGTTACAAGCATTCAATTGACCACGATGTATTTTTTTCGTTTGATCTCCAAATCAAAGTGGCGTGTATTGAAAACTTGTCGATTTACCGCAACTTGGAGAGAGGATAATTGAGTAAGGAAGCCACGGACCCATTATTGTAATGTTCTCAAAGTGGCATGTGAATTAGCAGGTTTTCAGTAGGCTTGATGCGGGCTGTAAATAATAGGCTGGGTAGTTAAGCCATCCATTGCCTTTCCCAAGAGATGCGGGCTGCCAGATGGGCTGCCTCGAACGTAACCTGTTGGTTGCTGGCTTGTCCCCGTTGCGTGTTGGCCTGGGTATCTGAGTGGCATGCAGTGCAATTCCACACGCAAGGCACGTGTGTGTGTGTGTGGGTCACCCCGCAGTATACCTTTGATGGTGGCTCACATAAATTGGCCTGGGAAGTAAATTAGCATTGCCATATGTCACCGTGACTAAAGCCTGAATGTGCGTTTTGTGAATTCAGTATTTTGGAGTGCCATGCCGACACGTGACGCAAACTTCGATTACAAATGCAAGATTCAGATGTTTTTTTTTTAAACAAGCAATGCCGTATTTTAATAGCCTGCAATAGGGTACATTTCTTTCTCAATCCACTGCTGGATGAAGGCCCCCTGCCCCACCTCCGCACACACGACGTTGGTCATGCGGAATGTTTTCTGTTTACCGTACTTTACAGAGTGGTGATGGGGGCGGTAAAAACGTGGGCCCCCGGGACCGGTTTGAATGTCCACTGGCCACTGATGTTGACCGTGGCCACGAATTCAACTCGGGTCACTGGGTTCGCAGAAACAGTGCGCGGACAAATGTACCACAGCTCCATCCCATTTTACATTTCATTTTAGAGGAGTCGTTTATTTTGTTACTTTGCGTGATGACAATATCACGAGGCTGCCAGTTCAAATCTAAAGCGGGGACTAACTCAGCCCATTATTCCGCAGGGGTTGATACAATGAGACACCACTTTTTTTGGCAAGTTAAGAAGTGGTTGTCATTTAAATAGATTGGATCACACTCCCCCCCCCCCTGATGGGCACGTGGACGTTAAAGGGAGGCTGAGATCCACCAGTTGAGATGAGCACCAATCGTTTTTTCAAGGAAAAACTGAGAATTTTGTACCATTTCAAACATTCGTATGATGAAAGTTAGTGTCAATGAAATATTTAAATTCATTAATAAAACACCAGGACGTTAAAAGGTGCCTTGTTAACATAAAATATTAGACTTTTGTTTTCAAAGACACATTTGCAAAGTATTGCACACACTTAACATCACGATACATTTTCCAAAATCCCCAAAATGCACATAATGTTCCTGTTACTTGGTATGAATGCTGCTCACAGGCAACTTTAATGAACGGGGATGGCTGGATTTTTTTTATTTTCACGTGTGATCCTTAAAAAAAAAGACCAATTGTTATTCAGTTATCAATCACCATGAAGAGAACATGCCCTACAGTGTATTTCACTTAATTACTATGAGACAATTAAGGCCGTGATGGCGTTAATGATGTCTGTAACTGCGGCAAGGGTTATTTAACAGGATTAATTATGATTGTGCAGCTAAAAATGAACTAGAAATTGAATAATTTTAATAACATGACCTGAAGATTTTTAATTGCAGTCTCTAAAAGACAGCCACACATAGCTTACGTGCAAAATATATCAAACGCTTAAGTTGAAGGACGCAAGGCATAACTTAAGTGCATTTAACATTCAGTGTAATTATAGCATAACACGTAGCAACACTCAAATATTATAGTAGACATGCTTGCAATGTCTGCCAACTGTTTCCCTTGCATGTGCGGTAGCTTCATGCCCATCTTGCTCCTGCTGCATTGCATGTGCCTGCAGCGCTCCAGTGGTTCACATGCTGCCCTATGAACCCGGCGACCCGAGTTCAATTCCTCGCCAGGCTAACGCCGGTTTCCTGGCGAGTCAGACGCCGCCACTGCACTCCTTCACCGATCCCCATTGGCCAGCATGGAGCAGAGGTCGCAAACGGCTACCCGTACCCGTACCTGGCCGGGTACGGGTAGCCGGGTATCGGGTAGGGTACGGGTATTGGGTACCCGGTTGCGACCTCTGGCGTGGAGACCAAAGACGCGGTCAAAACAACTCGCCGTGACTGACACGGAATTAGGCGACCTTCACCAAGCGGTGGACAGATCATGGCTGTTGACGATTGTAACGCTCAGCAATGGTCTGGATATTTGATCGTCTTTGCGGTCTTCCTGGCCAGCCGCTACTCCTTCCAAATGTGATGTCTCGTTTTAGAATGTGATGACTCACATTTGCAAGGAGTCAACTCGGCCTACCATTACTCCACTGTTGATAAAAAAACAACCAGTTGCGACTTTGTGACAAGTTAATAACAGTCGTTCTTATTCTTGGTTCTTTCGGTAAAGTCACGTGGAAGGGAAAAATAAAATATTTTATTATTTTAATTTTAATTTTTATTATTTTATTGTTTCCCTTCTACGTGACTTTACCGAAAGAACCTAGAATAAGAATCCCTGCAGTCACGAAAGCTTTAAATCGAAACTAGTTGTTCTATGTGAAAATTACCCCAGTCGTGGGAGTGTGGAATGTCCAGCAATGTTTCAGGACAACCAATGAATATATTGTCACCCCACCGCTTGCCAGAACAGGAGAACGCTGACTTTGGCTGCACATTTCATTCCAGTTGTTTTTGGCAAAGTCAGGATTTTAGAGGGTGTCATTTTAGAACGGCAGTGGAAGATCATCATTCAGCTGCTTCTAGTGTAGCCTTTAATTGGTCTCTCTTACTCAACAGGAGAAGGGGATGTGTGCTCCCTTGTAAATATTTCACAACTGCACAATCTATTATAAAGATGCACAGTTCTCATTTTAGTTGACGGAGAGGTTTTGTTGAATTAAGCGAACAAATGACTGTGCAAAGCACGACGTTTATTTAGTGGAGTAATTTGTGAATGGGCTGCGGCGATTAGCTTGCTACACTTGAGAAGGCGGTTTAATTCATGTGACCACCCAGTTTTTAACCCAGTATCTCAGTCTTCTGCTTCTTTCATATGGCATGAAAAAAAGCAACGGGGCTACAATTATTTGATGTTGTGAGCCATTCCCCGGCATCTGGGTGGGGTAGCTGAGTGGTGTGGTCCACTTGTTCCACCAGAGTACGCGTCTTGCATTGGGGCAGTCATCCAGTGATGTACGCCAGGTGGTTTGCACCTTTCCACATTTGCAGGTTGTGGCGAGTCCCTGCTCTACAATTTATGGAGGCAATATCCACACCTTCCACGTGTTGTTTTAGACACGGTTGAATATATCAGTGTTGCTCTGACAATGACCTTATTCCAAAGTGTATCAAGCATAACATATTTTTTGTCCATCTTCCATGCATTCTCTCCATTTTACAGACATGGATATATTGTATGGAATACATCATGACAGTAATAATAGTATTGAGTGAAGATGCCTTAGTCAATCCACGGTTGGAAGAAAGGCCTCTCCTACACTACCCATATTTCACAACACTCGTCAGTGAAAATGAAGTGAAGGAGTAAAGGGTGGGGAGGGGTTGATGCCGCATATTTCCGAAATCCAAAATTTTCTGGCCAGGGTAGAGGGCATCACACAAATCTCATGATGCTCACCTGCAAGCTTCACGGAAAATTGTTTCTCGACCCAATTGTGCAGACGTCTGGGAGTAATCCGGTCATATGCGTGGGATTTCTCTGGCCGATCTGCGGTCATCCCACATGCAAAACACTCATTAAACAGGGATTGAACGCGCATACCGATGCAGGGCCCTCCTGAAAAAATATTGAATAAGTAGTGGGAATTTTTTTAAAATCGAGTCAAAGTGTCTCCTGAATTAAGCGAGCTGTGGGATGGCGCTCATGACTATTGGTGGCCCTAAGCCAGTGCTCGAATTTTCCCACTCAGATGATGATGGGGGGGGGGGGGCGGTTGCTCCATAGGACGATCACTGTTGACTGCAAAGCACCTCTCACATTATTGGCACTAGAGGGACGAAGGACCGGGGTGACCCCTTGACGGCGTTTTGAACTTGCCTTAGATAACCCGTGATTTTGTTCTGATGGATTGTGAGTAGGTGAGAGGCTCTTGTCGACAAAGTGTAGCCGCTGCCATGCCGGGATTAGCAAGAGGCATTTCCACTGTGTGCGGGTTTTTCGTGGTTGTCCCGTGTAACTCTCCCACACATTTCCGAATTGTACCGAACACTTCGGCAAAACCCGACAACGCTCGGGAGAGCCAAAGGGTTTCCGCCGCCACTACGACCCGCTCGCTGACAAATCGAATTCTCCTCCGCGCAGGCCTGAACAAGCGGACGTTCAGCCCCTTCCACTTCACGTCGGAGCCGCGGGACACGGTGGCGGCACGGGGCTCGTCGATCGTGCTCAACTGCTCGGTGCGCACCTCGGAGGGCACCCCCCGCATCGAGTGGAAGAAGGACGGCACCTTCATCAACCTGGCGACGGACGAGCGGCGCGCCCTGCTGCCGGGCGGCTCGCTGCAGCTGCAGAACGTGCTGCACGGCAAGCACCACAAGCCGGACGAGGGCACCTACCAGTGCGTCGCCACCGTCGACTCCCTGGGCACCATCGTGAGCCGCACCGCGCGGCTCGTCGTAGCCGGTGAGAGAGAGAGTGAGAGAACGAGAGATAGTGAGAGCGAGAGAGAGCGAGAGATAGTGAGAGAGCGAGAGATAGTGAGAGAGCGAGAGAGAGCGAGAGAGCGAGAGAGAGAGCGAGAGAGCGAGTGAGCTTCATCCCCATTGCGTTGTCAATAATTTGGCAGGTACGTGAGGGTGAGCAGCGGTGGTGCAGCGGGTTAGAACCATGTTGTATGTCTGGCCATGGCCGACGTGTGCGGTGAGTTACATCTGAACCAGTCCCTGAGCCGTCCATTGCCTTCAGGAAAACCGAATTGGCTAGCATGGTGAATGTAAGCATGTAAGTTGAACTTCTGTCGCACCGTACATCGCCAACCGTGCGAATCGGAGGTGCGGAGGAAGGACGACAACAAACGAGCTTGGTCATACAACCCCAGTGATTGACACGACAGGGAAAGGCCTTCATTCAGCAGTAGTTTGACAAAAAACTGGAAACGTAATTTTTTAATCTGGGGGTGGGGGGGGGGGCAATAGCCACATGGGTCCATTTTGAGTAACCAAATGGACTAATACAGTTTGTTAATTCAGGGGGGCTTAGCCCCGTGTGTGGCATTCCCCTCTTGTCCAGAAGTTGGGGTGGAAGCTGGTCCCCTCTCGTGCCTAAGTTCACAAGCCCACACCATTGCAATTTACATAGGAGCATAATCAGAACCTCGCCAACAAGGTATTATTATTATTGTTCTTATACTGGTAGGAACCATCTGGTTCCACCAGCCCACAGGGGATTATTGTGTCTCTCCGTCTTGCATCAAAAAATGGGAGGGGAGGGTGGGGAGGGGCTGGGTGGGGAGGGGAGGGTGGGGAGGGGCTGGGTGGAGAGGGTGGGGAGGGGCTGGGTGGGGAGGGGCTGGGTGGGGAGGGTGGTGGGGGGTGGGAGGGGTGGGGCTGGGTGGGGAGGGGCTGCTCACCCCGTGGTGCCCTTATAAAACTCCATGCCGCCGTTGACCCTGGCCATTGACCGAGCAACCCAACGTTCCTACCAGCTCCCTCCGCAGGAATGTGTTCCCCAGGAGATTCTCCACTGAGCGCCATCCTACTCTCTCAGGAGGTTTTCCTGCCATGTTTCGCACTCGTTGGCAGCGAGCTTTTTTTTCTGCCACGCTCCGCGATTGTCTGTTCCACTTCTTAAGTCGCGTCTTCAAACTCACCTATTTGTGCAACAGGCTTTCTCCATTACTTAAGATTGTACGTAAAGCGCTTTGAGACCTTGTCGGTAATTGCGCTATAAAAAACTGAATTTATTATTATTATTTCTAAATATATTCAAGTTGAGTAATTTGAGGGTAAGTTTTTCAACTTTGGCAAATTTGCACCGTAAACTTAGTGTTACACTTGAACTCGGATCGTCGTATTGCGTTGCAATGTGCACACCGCTCTTCTAAACTGCGTAAAGATTTCTTTCTGTTCAAAGTGTAGCCTGAAAATTGGTGGTAGCTGAATTAGCATTCAGGTTGATATGCCTGTATAGATATATTGCAGATGATGTTTCCTATAAGCCAATTTTTCTAATAAATCCAATTATAACTGAAAATAAGTAGAATTACATGGTCGTTCACAAATGCATACCAACATTCACACGAGCTAATCTTCTGATTTCTCATTACGTCCCTTGATTAGCTCCCAATTATCCTGACTTAGCAGCAGAAGTTTTAAAGGGCAGACTAATCAACGGTATGTTGGCACTAATTTAATTAGTATTCCATAAAGTCTCAATCACACTCTTGACAGAAATGTTTGTGACCATACTCAATATATGTATTCAACGCGACAACATGAATCTCTTTATAATCAACGTTTTTGGGTTTAGATCGCGTTATTTATAAATGTGTTGTAACCCTCCACCACCCGACACGGCCAATCAGTAAAAAAGTGTCACGTTGACAAAAGACAAATAGTGACACTTTTTACTGATTGACCGTGTCGGGTGGTGGAGGGTTACGACACATTTATAAATAACTCGATCTAAACCCAAAAACGTTGATTATGAATAATATTGGTCGCGAAAGCCTACGTGTTAAACTGATGAATCTCTTTACTTTGTTTGGACAATGAGTGTTGGGTCGACGATAATAATGAGTCACTTTTGCCACGTATTTTTAGAAATGAACTCTTAATACGAGCAACAGCTGCTCAGCAGAACGTTGGGACGTAGCTTTCTTGGCGACGCCGCAGGAAAATTCCGCTTTAACGCTGACTGGAGCGCTTCCTCGTGTTTGTTTTACCTTCGATATACCAACGTTACAGCAGCAGTTTTTTTGTGACACAATAAAAATGTGTATAATATAAGTATGCTTTTTTTCTAAACGTTTTTTTTATTTGATGGATATCAAGTTTAAACCGCAGGAAATTGTGGCAATTCTGAACCCCAGTGGTAGAGCAGCTTGCAAAACAAAAAAAAGGCAAATGCTCCTCCTCAAGCCAAGATTATCCTGTTTCCTGTCCATCGTAATTGCAATCTTCCCTCAAAAGGGTAAGCGGACGTTTATTTTTTTACTTTTGTATTCATATCAATGCATGGCATCTGCATTGGACATTATAGGTGGCTCCCACTTTGATATGGGGTTTTCTCACAGCCATTCTGTGTGCAGACAAATTAAAACATTTGTTGAGCCAGAGAGTTATTGTCACAGCAATAATAGTGATATCTTGTAACCAATCTAGCGTATTATCTTTTGGCTCCTGTCTCCTCAGAATAGATGTGTTTTGTTTTCACACTTGGATTCAACAAAGCACTGCTTTTTAGCAGGTATATGTTGAGTTTCAACACGTCTTCAGAGTTCAAACTGTGCATTTTTTTCATAAAAAAAATAATGATAAAAAAATAAAGTGCATGTGTTCGCACATGGCTTAAATGTTTTCAAATATTAGTTGTGTTATATGTATGGTTTGAACTTCTTTTGTAAACGTTATGTAATGGAGGCAATTTTTATTGCTTACATACTATTTAAAGGGGTGCCGTAAAAAAAAAACTATCTATGAATGCATTTGTCTATGTTTGTGTTGCATTTTATTTTATCAGTGCAGAAAGTCTCGTGAAGCCACCTTTATTTAGTTCGCTCAGGATTGCCGGTCCACTCTGGCTTGGCACTTTCTACAACGTTTTTCGGCATTTCAAAGCAAGAAAATAAAAATGATTTAAGTGCACCGTAGAAAAAGAATACAGGGAGAGAGAAGAGAGAGTTTTAAGACAATCTAATGACAACAGGCTGCTCGACACTGAATTCACGTTTATTTGAGCGGCATAGTAAAAAAAAATGCTGTGTTTTGTTCCACTTTCAGTTTTGTTTGCTTAGCCTTATTTTGCTTATTTCAACTTGGGAGCCAAAAAAAAAATTTCCAAAGCGATGAAGCGAATGGAGAAGGCAAACACTTTTTTTCATTCTTCTGAGGGCATTGAAAGGAAAGGCACGAGTTCACTGGGACACGCGATGTTAGCACGCTTAAGGAGCACAACGAGACGAGAGGGCATTCATTATGAGCTTGGTGAGCAGCCAGTGAATCGAATACGACCTGGGTGCGTGCAAGTGTTGCTTTGGTTCAAAGGTCAAACGTGAGTGACCTAGAATGGGATGTTTGCTTTGTAATTTGTAGTATAAATGAACGATTACGTAGGCAGGGCATTGGCCCCTGATGTCTGGCTCCTTAAGTAAACTTTCTTTTTGTGGAATTCAGTCAAGGAGTGTAATAAATGAGAGAGGGTTGTCTGCGGTTGATTAATTTGAGTAAGTGGAGAGAAAAGAACGAGCATTTTTATGAAGTCCAACAGGGTGGATCTGTGACAAAGTGCTCAACTTACAATGTAAAGTCTGCAACTCGGCCCATGAATAATATTTCTTCTGGTTTAATAAAATAAGCACAACTGTGATTTATGAAAAGGAACCATTCGTCATTGTATGGAAGGTCTAAACTCATCTCGATCTGCCCTTGTTGGGCGCCACAGTGAAGAGATGTTTACTATCTTCTTGGTTCTTTCGGTAAAGTCATGTAGAATGGAAATAATAAAATAATAAAAAACAAACATGTTTTATTTTACGTAGAATGGAAATAAAAAAACTAATAAAAATAAAACATGTTTTAATAAAAAGAAAACATGTTTTATTTTTATTCTTTTATTATTTCCAATCTTCGTAAAATAAAGCATGTTTTATTTTTATTATTTTTTTATTTCCATTCTACGTGACTTTACCGAAAGAACCATGAAGATGAATCCCTGCAGTCACGAAAGCTTTAAATCGAGATGTTTACTACCTCGCTTGGTATGCAAGAGGTCGTGGGTTCAATCCCAACCCTAACGCTTGCTGTTTATTTTGAGTTTGCATGTCTTTCTCTCCCCGTGGTCGCGTGGATTTTTCTCCGGGCCCTCCGGTTTTTCCCTCCACATTTAGAAACACGCTTTTAAATTATTTGGCTGCTGTGTACATTCCCACGTGATAAGCCACTTCGTTGAGATATCATTTATGGCCAGGTCGATTCTGAAAAAAAGAGCCTTTCCTCTTAAAATAAAAAGTTTCGTTTTAAGTATCGTTGTGTTCTCTGCTTCAGCAACCAAGGCCTACTGCCAAAGTCCCCACTTGGCCATTGTTCAGTGGGAAGTCACTCTTCTTCTCTGCTGCCCCCAGCTATCCCTGCTACCAACTCCCTGCCCCTATTCAAGAATCGACTCAAGTCCTCCCCCTTACCATCTGTCTATAACGCTTTCTGCTCTTAAAAAAATAAACTCGTATATATGCACTTTATGTTGTACTGTGTGCAAGGCGTAGCTTTTGAACTGGGCTAGCAAATGTAATCATTTTCATATTTAAAAAAAAGGAAAACCAGAGGTCGTTTCTACACTCTTGTTGGGCTTTCGTTCTTTAAAACTTCTCGCCCCAATGAAAGGAGTGGGTGGCCTTGTCCACATGCAGTCATGTTGCCGTGGTACGTGTGGGGTACACTCGTTCTCCCACGTTGCTGCGTGCATCT